CATTCTATCCAAAGCTACACTGTTCATCACTGCATTCTTGAATGACATCCTTTCATCTTACATGTAGCTCTGCATTTGGATTTTATCTGTTCCCTCACATGGCCTCGTGCCTCCTCCTCCTCCTCCTCCTCCTCCTCCTCACACTGTATTTGTCCCCTGAGCATTTTCACATCCCGAGGTGGATCAAGACTTTGCAAATCAATATCATGCATTCATGTGGGTGCAGCTCATGCATGATCATGTGAACGTGCACATTCATACGTACACGAACGGAAGTTGCTGCACCTATATAATTACATTCTGCAGGAAAAGCAAAAAGAGAGACAGAGAGAGAGAGAAAGATTTAAAATTTGTCGTTATTTTCCAAATAAACTGAAGTTGTTGGAATTCATCTGTGTGGATGCAGGAGAGAATATCAGGAACACCCATATAAATAACAGCCTTTCCTAATGCCAGCAGTAAGTACTCAGCTCAGTCAGACAGGGCCAGTTAATAGACCCGTACGGATGCTGAGGATAGAAATGAGGCTCGGGGATGGAGAGAGTCAGTGGAAAAGTGAAAGGGAGGAGAGGAAGGAGGAAACTAGTGGAGAAAGCGAGACGGTGAGGCTGGCCATTATAAATCATATCCGCTGTTGGCGCCGGCCACGTTTCCTAGCAACCAGACAGACCCACACGCCTCTCCTCCTCCATCCCTCTTTTTCATCTTACGCTAACAGCTCGGTCACTTTTACAACCCATACTGCACTGGGCCATGCCCCAAAAAAGTCATGACAGAGTGCAGTTGTAGCTTACAGCTAAATGACTAATCCACAGCGGGTCTGTATTATTAACCTCGTGCTAATCAGATCCAGAAAAATGGACGTACTGCAGACCAGGTCACACATACACACACACACTGTTATAGAAAATATATACCAGTGATGTGTTCAGGGCCAGCCACAATGTCACTCACATGCCGGAGGAGACTATCCATGTTGTCCTGAGCTCCAACGCAATGACACAAGTACCACATATCACTAATATATTATTACAACTACGATACTTATTACGATCAATTAGGGCCCTGAACGCCCTTGCGGGTGTTTGCAATTCCTCTGGCTAATCAGGCCTCCTGTTCAGCTTGAAGTTGGGTGTAGCTATAATGGGAACTGTGTGAGGTCACCAAACTTCATGCACTAATCAGAATGATGAAGGTTTAGGCTGCCCCACCTTAACAAGTGCAACGAAACGAGTGAGAGAGTCTCTACACATGCACACACCAGCCTTAATTAGTTCTAATTAGGCATAAGTGAAAACACCTGTGTGGGTTCTCTACTACTGCATACTAAATGAAATCACTTAATGCTACTACTCCTCTCAGTATATTGTTTTTTACTTAGTATATAACAAATCCATAGGCCTTTATTTTACTGAAGACATTTTGACGTGTCACAGTAGGAAAAGCACAGGTGTAAATAATTTAAATAATTATGCCTGATTTGCATTAAGCTGCTTCAGTTTCAGGGCCTTTTTATAGCCGCTCTTCACAGCAACTATGTTGACGTTGCAGGGTAAACACAGGTGTAACTAATAACATTAATTATGGCCCTGTTCCATTTAGGTGGGCCAGGGCCCTGGTATTGTGCATGTCTGGGCTTACTGGAATGGCTGTGACACTAAATAGAACAGGACTATAACTCATTTTATCAATTACACCTGTGTTTACTCTGCAATTACATGTCAATGTCTGCTGTGAAAAGGTGTCTCTTGCGAATGCTGGCACGGGTTTCTGAGACACTTGAATAGAATGAAGCATTCGTTAATGTCACCTGTCCTTTTCCTATTGTGACGAGGCAACATGTCTGCTGTGACAGAGGGTTTTGTGACAACAAGAAATGATGCAACCTTTACACCGACAGACGTCAAGCTAACTGCAACGTTGGGATGTCACTGCCTATCCAGCTTAAAGGAACAGTGTGTAGGATTAAGTGGCAGCTAGCCACGAAGGTTGCATATTGCAATCAACTGAATGCCCCTCCGCTCACCCATCCTTGTCAATGCGTGTCGGAGAACTATGATGGCGTTCAGGTTACGAAAAAAACAGGAAGTAGAAACATGGCGGCGCAACATCGGGGACTACGTGAGATGACCTGCTCCTTATGTCGAGACGAAGGGCTCATTCTAAACTAAGGAAAAACACAACAATTCTTAGTTTAAGGGGATTATACACCAACGAATTCATTGCTATGAATCCAATATATATTCCGTTTATGCTAATAGATTTCCCATAAATCCTACACACCATCCACAGATTATTAACATTTCTTTGCAGCTGTTAGCGGCTCCTCTATTCCCTTTGTGCATTTCTTTTTGGTACAATAGTGTGCATCAACAGCGCACACAATTCTTTAACCTTTTTAGTATGCATACTGGCTTTCATGACTAAACTTTGTCATCTTTTAAAAAGCCTTAAAATGAGTCTGGAGTATGGAATTGGGACACACAGTTTAAATCAATTCCAGTATTTACTTGAAATCCAACCACAGTTTATCTTCAGCCACCTATGCTTTGTTCATTTTAATAACGTGGGCACTGTAATTGGTTACTGTATAAATATCAGCAGTGTCAAATGTATTCAGGTTGACAAGATAATGATGTAAACACGACTTAGAGACACATTCAGATTCCTGAGTATCATCATCGCTGGAAAAAAGCCGAATTATGCACTGAATGCTGTCATATTTCTGCATGCAAGACCTCCACAAGATACTTGCCCCCACTCCAGTAGTGCTACTTGAATTGACACAATGCACACCTCCAAGAACAATCAGTTAGATAACACAATTTAGACTAAATTGTTGGCCTGTTTTGTGAAATGTCCTCCTGATTGTCCCATGACTGATGAGACTGAACAGACCTTTTCATAAGTCAATTTACTGCCTTACTACAGGATACTGATTTTGAGCCTCTGATAAAACAAGAGGAAGAGGAAGCACGGTGAAACCTTCTCGCTAGCATGACTAGCATTTAGTTGTGAGAGTCACTGAGCAGGGCCGGCTCCATGCCGCAGCTTTATGCCGTCTCCTCACTTTAAAAAGCTTCACACAGTTACTGGTCTCCAGACGGCTTCAGCCGAGCTTGACTACAGCCTCATTGTCTACTGGTTTATGAAATTTTGAGTGATCAGCAGAGTGAACGAACAGTAACACACGGAGAGAGAAAGAGTGTGTGCATCTATGAGAGCCAAGGAAATGAACCACTCAGGAACCACTCAGTAAGCCCACAGTCAAAGAGCCACCAGAAGAAGTGGGTGGTACGAGAGGAAAATTGTGTTTGAGGAATGAAGGACAAAGTAGTGTGTGTGTGTGTGTGTGTGTGTGTGTGTGTACTAAAAGAACACAAGTACGCCACCTTGTGGACCAGGACTGGTTGGGCTCCCCTCAAATTGTCCTTGACCTGTAAGAGAGAAAATCACAAATCCTTTATGAGAAAGACTGGCTTTTTGCGGCTCATCGCTGCGTTTGAAAAGTGATTATATCCACAGTGACCTGCCACCATGTTGGAGAAATAAATACCTGAGTAAAAGATTTTAAAATATCTGTATCAAATGTACATATTGTTCATAATGTATGTTGTTTGTTGACTGATTTAAATCCGGAGTTTGTTAAGCGGCTCCTAGTTCCAGAGGTCTCCGACACCGACTACAGAATCATTTTTTGAAGGGTGCTCCTGACCATTTCAAGGGTAATAGCTCTGTAAATCTACAAGATAACCCTCCTTTTAAGATTTAATGAGATTCACAGTAAGAGTTTAAAGAAAAAAAGGGAAAAAGGGGGATATAAAAAGTGCTATTCCTGCAGCAGAAGGATCATACTGTACCACTCAAATCCTTGAGGATAATGAATTAAATTAACTTTGCCTTTAATCTCTTACCTTATCTGAAATTATAATACGAAATGTATGTAGATAAGCAACGCTTTACTCTCTATGCCTGCAATTGTGTTTTCCTGGATAATATTAGTTTGAGGAAAGCCAAAGTCATCTTCCTTGGCTTGTCATTGACACAAAGACATTTTTCAGCCCTTCCAGGCAAATTTCTGTTGGTGTATTTCATTAAAATTAACTTTTTATTTTTACCCCAGCAGCATAAAGCAAGAAGCTTCACCAGTTGTTTAATGAATGAAAAAATATTTTTGAAACACAGTATTTCACATAATGCTTCAAGATAGAAAAACTAGACAAATCCATTAATGGTTCAATTAGCCATTCAGCCTCTGATTGGCAGAGTGTCGTTATAACCGAAAGCATTGAACAACAGGGCATGCTAATTTGTATGCTAATATGTTACCCCCAAAAAAACCCACCTGTGCTTGTATTTTACTCTTCTGATTTAGCTTAATGTTGAATTGTTTAATTCCCGATTTTACTCTTGTAAAATATATAAACATTAGGCCTACCTCTGTTAAATGCAGCCATTGGAGGTCAGCTGTGTAACTTTGGGAGATTGGTTATGGTTTGACACAGTGCCTAAACAACTCTTCACGAATCCATAGCATTTCTTCGAGTAAGCATAAACTGTGTGAGCGGAATTTCTCCTTAAACTAGAGCTAAAGAGTCAAGACGACGAACGTCGCCCACCTGAGCTTCAGACCACGGTGTAGTCGGGTTCAGGTGTAGTCGGACATACTAACTTTCAGCTCACTGAAAGCCCTCCGAGTCCACAGATTTACAAAGTGTGCAAAAACGTCAAGATAATTTCGGTTTTCATTAATATGTGTATGTTCTTAAATAACCACATGCTGCACAGACGCAGACTTGAGTAGAAGGATATTTTGTGATTACTGTAGTGTAGTTGTAATAAAAGTTACATAAAAGTTTCGATTTGTTTATTTACGGAATGTACTCGAACGCATCACTATGAATTCTTACAGTACCTGGTCGCGAGACCATCACAAAACACCATGCGCAGGATGGCAGAGGAGATACAACCTACCAAAGAGCAGAGGTACGTTTATTTATCCCTGAAGACGCTTTTTATTTTGAAATCGTCTTCATACCGTGGTTGGTTATGTACGTTGTTGTTCCCCTTTGAATGCCGTCCGTTTTGTTATGACTTAACTGCATTGTTGTTTTGAACTAGTACTTTCATTATGAACATGATTCAGACCTCTGTTAAAGTTGTGTCATTTCTCTGTTACTGTCAAATATCCACATGAAGTTGATATCAGTTCAAATCTGTCAGGATCTCCAGGAGTACAAAATGTTCCATTATGCAGATCGGTATTCAATTACAATAAAAACAACTTTATTCAACTCGTTCATGAAATCTCTGCCTGTATCTCTGTTACAAATATTTTAATTTGTGTTGTTATAACTGTCTCTTGATATAACTGCATTTGATGCAATGCTGAATTGAGCAGTGGTTACGAGAGATTTCTGAAGTAATCTTAACCCGAGTCAACATGCATATAGGGAAACAAGTCAACACATATCTTTAATGACATTTGGTCCCAAAATACAAAGTGTAAGCTTGGCTTGACTCCTTATATTGTTTACATGATGTCAAGTTTGTCTAGAAGGGGGATTCGGGGAAGTATAGATTGCATACCAACAGTGCTGATAGCAGCAATGTCATATGGTCAAAGTTCAAATTATAGTTAGCCTTTGTCTGAGATTGCACTTTACATGTTCTGTCTGCCTGCCTGTGCATGTCTGCTGTGACAGCTCCTGGATATTAAGTTGGCTTCCCTCTTGGTGCCCCACTTCTGCCTCTCAGCTGAAAGATGCAGAGGAAAAAATGCTCAAGAGTAAGTGTGCTGTTGAACCACTGCTGAGATCACAAGTTGAGATGTTGCGTTGTCTAAATGCTCAGAGGATTCGGTGTCTGCAATTCATGTAATATTTTGTCTTTGAAACAAATTATCAAAAGTACCAGTCTAATAAATCTGGAGCGGTTAGGCTGAGTCCCATTTCTCTTACTTTTCCTCCCTCCTCCGTCTTCCCCTTGTCCCATAATTCCCCCAGGTGTGGAGCGGCCTTTCTCCAGGCAACATGTCCGCATATCCAACAGCAACTATCTGTGGACCTTAGCTTTTTCCACCAGGCCACAGCCATGCTCTCTCCCCCAGCCCCCCGCCCAGCCCAGATCTCCTCTGGTTCTGCTGCACGGCTTTGGAGGCGGGCTTGCCCTTTGGGCCCAAAACCTGGACTCTCTCTCCAGCAGTGGGCCGGTCTACACTCTGGACCTGCTGGGCTTCGGCAGGAGCAGCCGCCCCGAGTTCAGCACCGACCCGGAGGGGGCTGAGGAGCAGTTTGTGGAGGCGCTGGAGGAGTGGAGGGAGAAGGTGGGACTGGAGGAAATGGTGCTGCTGGGACACAACCTGGGAGGATACCTGTCTGCTGCCTACACACTCAAATACCCACACAGGTGCTTTGGTTTGTTTATTTAGTGCGGAACTAGCCACACAGTAAAAAAAAGCCAGAAATATATTCAAATATATGACATTGTAATTCTGTAATCGCAGTCCACGGCTCGTCTGCCACCGACTTTAAACATTGCATTCCTAACTTTGTAAAACAAAGTGTAACAAATAAATACATACATTTACTGAATTGTTATTTATTAATAGAATAATAAATCGGAGACCAGCAACAAAACAGGTTATAAACCTTTTAAATGCAACGCCAATTTGGTCAAAAATGTAAACAGGAATCCAAATTCCAGTATAAAATGTATGGAGTATATAAACATAGAATTGAATTGAATAGATCGGGCCCATTGTTGCCGGTATCCGATCCAGCTATTTGCGTTAGTATCGTCCTGATATTTGATATCTGTGCAATTTACTTCACAATGATACTGGAAAGCAAAAAACATGTCTATTGCTACTTTAACATTGAAATCCAACCGTGGTCCTGCTATTTAAAATCTGAAAGAGTCTGTGACATTGTTGTGTGCACTGTCTCTTTTCGTACTTTGTCACACTCTACCATCTGTACACAAGTCAATGGTGGGATTTGAAATTCAATTTTAACATTTAGTGTGTTAATTTATCAAGTAACTGTATGTGTGCAGGGTAAAACATCTGCTGCTGGTGGAGCCATGGGGTTTCCCAGCACGTCCAGATAACCCCCAACACTACTCCATCCCAGTGTGGATCAGAGCCATGGGGGCCGTCATGAGCCCCTTCAACCCACTGGCTGGACTCAGACTGGCTGGGCCTCTAGGTCAGCACACACACACACACACACACACTTTGCAGCTATCATACTAACATCTGGAAGTAAATATTCTCTCTTCTCTCAGGTCCGATGCTGGTCCAGACAATCAGGTCGGATTTCAAGCAGAAATACTCTTCTGTGTTTGACGACAACACAGTATCCGACTACATCTACCATCTGAATGCCCAGACTCCGAGGTGAGGAACTTGTATATGTTTATACCGTACGTACTGATTTTATCGCTCTAACATTATTTCTCTCTGCTTCAGTGGAGAAACAGCCTTTAGGAACATGACCATCCCCTATGGCTGGGCGCAGAGGCCCATGCTGGAGAGGATCGGCCAAGTCCAGGCTGACATTCCCGTTTCCTTCATCTATGGATCACGCTCCAGCATTGACAGTGACTCTGGATATTGGTTGAAGAAAACCAGACCAGATGTGCACATCACGGTAGGGTCTTTTGTTCTCGTTTCATGTCAAGTCTCTTCAGTATGTGGTGTAAGGGGGAGACACTACAGGGGAATAGGGTAAACATGTAACTAATAGCACCGTGAAACTTCCCCAGTTTATAACTTCAATTCATTTCCAGAACCGAAATCTGAACATTGGATAAATCCAAGTTCCACATTATTGTTTCTTTTTGTTGACATATTAGTCAAAGCTTTTTACTGAGGGCATCTCTTTGTATTTGTAGTTTTAAATGAACCAATAGATATCTCCATGGAACCAGTTGATTACTCACATTAAGACAATATTTATTTTTGTATTACACATTTTCAGAACTGTTATGTTTAAATATGCAAATGAGGCATTATCTACTTTGGTGGTGAATTCTGGAGAAATCAACACACCCAAATATACAAAGGAGTAAAATAAACACGTAAATGTGTATTGTGGATGTTTTCTGGCCTCTAGTCTGAAAGAAGACATGTTACGGAAGCAAAATAGCTCAAAATCTCAATGTTTTTGGCTCAAGAGAAATATCCATCTCAGAGTTCACCTGCCTTTTGTGAACCACGACAGCTTTATCTCTAAAGAGCCGACTCGCTGTCTCTGTGTTTGTGTTTGTCAGGTGATCAGAGGAGCAGGCCATTACGTCTTCGCCGACCAGCCCGATGACTTCAACCAGACAGTCCTTCAGATCCTCACTGGGATGGAAGAGAAAAAGCCAAGATGAGGGAGCGAAGCAGTGAGAGCGCCCTCATTCAGACGACACACACACACACACACACACACACATAAACCCATTACACAGCCTCAGCTGCTTCACTGTAAGCCTCTTTATCATGCACTTTACTTTTAAAAGAAAACCATCACTGGCTAAGGACACTTCACTCATCATGTGGGAGTCAAAGATCTGATGATGCCACAGGTTTCTTTGTATAAGTTTTGTAAATAAATGTGAAATGCAGTCCGTGTTGTATTTTGTCTTTCGGCTTCCATTTGGAAATTCTGAGAAACTGTTGGGCAACTCTTTTCTGTACAAAAAGAGAACTCGTTCCTCAAGGGAACATCTTGTTTTGTGGTTGACGTCTAGGCAAAGTACACAGGGTGTTCTTTTTTGTCTGACCCCTCACCCACTCTCAGAGAGATACGAGGGAGGAGGCGTTTAGGGCAAAGGGCTGACTGTGTGTTTTTCAGGAAACTTCCTCACTCCTCAGGAGACACTGTGACTCGGAGCGGCCAGCAGATGGCAGCACGGTGACGGCATACTTACATTACCTCCGCTCTCCGTTTCAGAACAGTCACAGTGAATCTCATACAAAGCGCCCTCACATACATATTGAGTTGAGTGACCTACACTCAGGAGACCTGGACAGTTATGCTTTAAGAGCAGCACGACACTCGGCTCTCTGCTAAGTCACAACTGCAGTGACAGAATAGGGTCAGAGCTGGACTAAAAATAGGCCTTCTGTTTTAAGGGGGGACGGAGGGTTGGTGGGGGGGCATAAGTTAAAGTACCCCTCCGGACACAAGTATGGAAAAATATTCTGCGATGAATAATATTTTGTTGAACATGGTTTTCCAACATAAAAAGTAAATAAATAAAAAAAGGAGGGCTGGAAGCACATCTTTCTCCCTCAGTGGGAAATTCAGGAGTTATGAATATGCAAATATGCAAATAACACAGACCAAATGCCCTGCCCACCACCTTTGAAGAGCTAGTTAGAAGAAAGATTGGAGAGATAGTTAGTGAGATGTTTTGCGCTTCAAACTCAATTCTCCTCTTGGAGAAAAGTTTCTGACTAAAGTTTCCTACAAGGGCAAACAGAAGTCACCATATGGTCCTATTAAAATACTTACAAGGTCTGTGAAGTGGCTTTTTTACAATGGACAACGTTGACAAAATCGATGCAGCAGAACCAGATATCTTCTGTTTTATTCCATCCATTCTTCTTCCTTGTCAAAATCTGCCAGCCTGCTTTACCCACAACGCACCTTGACCGTAGACATTTCTGTCAGAGATTCAGGCGTCTTATGCTAGCACTCGCTAATGTAGCCTTAAGTCTCTATGCAGAGATGAGCGTGATATGGAGGTCTGGTTTGCTCGCTTCTTTCTAACTTCACACACCAGATTAGTTTCTTTTTTAAACTTTTAGTCTTCAGACTAACCAACCGACGCCGACTCAAGTGACCCCAAACTCCCTCTGTACACACTAAAGCTTTATTCAACTTTATACAACCTGTAAGCAGACTTTGATGTTTACACACTAGCAAACATGGATGCAATTTAAAACATTTTTAAAAAGTGTTGCATGTGGAAGGAAATACATTCAACGCGTGTGTTAGGCGTCACATATAACTTTGAGTTTGTGCACAGTAAACCCTCAACAGGGCACCTTTAATATGGTGACTTTTTATTTCCAATGATTGTCTCCAACAGCTTTGATGCAGAGGGTGAACAATAGTATTATGATGTGTTGTCTTTGAGCACCCTGGCCTGTCACATCTGCCCGGCTCTGTCATTGACCTGGCCCACCCAAACTGTCTCCCAGCAACAGGGTAGCCACGGAGACGGATTATTTTGGATCTGCGAGCTGCTGGAAGTGACACTGCGGTTTGAACGGGGTAATTATGGGTTGCTTGTTCTTCTTGAGGAAGCTGGCTGGCTGCTTGTCAATTCAGGGAGGAGCGTTCAGCCGAGCTGCACTCGGGGAGTGAGGTGTCCAGGCCTCCGTCCCTGATACTCACTTAATAAGCTTCCAGGCTTATTCGTCATGCCTCTCTCTCTCTCTCTCTCTCTCTCTCTCTCTGTCTCTCTCTCTCTCTCTCTCTCTCCCTCTCTCTCTCTCTCTCTCTCTCTCTCTCTCTCTCTCTCTCTCTCTCTCTCTGTCACCCACTCAGTCACATGGGCATGAAATCATTTCATTAGGAAAAGCGAAACAGGCGAGAAAAGTGACAGGAGCTTTCATACTTGGTTTTGGATATAATTGAAGGCTTGAAGGCCTGAAATAACTGCACATTAAAGGTGTGTGCACACAGAAACACACACACACACACACACACACACACACAGTGGCTGCTGGCAGCCTATCAGCTCTCGGTTTATCTTTAATCAGCACCACCACATGCAGGTTTGTGCAGCCAAAGCATCAGGAGCTCAGCTTTAACAGCTAACAGTCACATCTCTCTCTGACCTGCAAGACCAAACTGCTATTTCACTGATTGTTCTCACTCATTTTGGGGTTGTAAGCCATAGTTCTAGAGTCAAAGTGTAAATACTCAATACTTAAACACGCTGTCCTGGAGCAGCACCTCTCTTTTTTTGTTCATAGGTATCGATCCCCTCAGTGCCAAAGCCCCATAAAATTGTGTTCATTGTTCATGTGACAAACCACTGCTCTAATGAGATGCCTGCATCAAGCACACACACACTCCCCTCTTGTCTAACCCAAACAATTGTAGCCTGCCTATGAGTGACTGATGATATTTGCAGTCCAGAGATTTATTTATACAGCTGTGTGGCCACCAGACTGACATTTGCACAGTAAAAAAAAAAAAAAGGACGATATTTCAATGAAGTCTGTGCAGCACGGCTATGTTGTGAAATGAAAGTAATATCTATCTAGAAAATAAATTCCCCCTACCAATGATCTCAAAGGAACGGTTATTTTGCAAAGAACTCCCAAAAAATCCTCTCAGCCTTTATGCAGTGAGAGCACTTCATAGCACCTCACAGCTCTCACATTACACCAACGGCGTCAGGGACTAATGATCACAGCATTTCAATTCTGACTGAGTGCATCAGGAACAAATATCAGAAGCAGAGCTGGAGATTGCCAGCTGGTAGGTTATTCTCCACAGACACAGCACAGGAAAAGACTTCTCTTCACCTCGCAGACGGAGCGAAATGGATCCAAAGAGGCATTGAGACTTTAACATTGACACTCATGGGAAGGCATCTCATCATCATGGGACCGATACTGAAGTGCCGCTGATTCATAAAATCCTGTAAAGCGGGTAATTTCTCTCTCTTCACTGAAACTATTGATTCTGCAGAACGGAATCTGGTCTTGGAGCCGCCTGTCATCAAACTGCTTGTTTACATTGATTTAAAAAGTACAGCTGGGTCTTCCTCTCCCACTTACTTATACATATTATGCAGCAAAGCTTTGAAATATCTTTATTTTAAAGCGACTATAATTCATATTTTTATATCACAAAGGATCACATGACAACCTGAATGTGAAAAAGTTGCTCATAGCGATGAAGGCACAAAGAATTAACAGCCAAATGGTCAGTTCCCCTCAGCTCTAAGGAGCATTTTAGCATCTTTCAGCTCATTGTTTTAGTTTTATGGCATCATTTTCTGCTGCAGCAAACAAGGTCTGAAAACCCAATGCACCTGTTAAGAGCTGGTGACTAGCTTAGCAGCTAAAGAGCATTTAGAACCAGAGCTAAAAGAAAGTAAATATTGGACTTATATTCACCAGGTAGCCAGAAACACAAATGCTACATGCTAATGTTAAATGACTGTTTTCACAGGCTAAGTAATACTCTCAATGACTAATAAGTTATTTTAGTAAAATCAATGACGTGCTTCTTTAAAACCAAACAGTGGCTGTTTATCGTGACACATGTACCGTGAGATGAGTTGCTTGCTTTTGCAGGATATTGTAAGATGTTGTACAAATCGGTGTATGAGGAAACGTTGGCACTGTAACCCTTCCTTACATTCTGTTTATAATTTATTTTTTTACACATTGCAAATTTAAAGCTAACCTGCAGTCATCTTGGCCTCTGTGCTGAGCTGCTTCGTGACTTCCTGTTTAGCAGCAGTGTTGTGACAAACTTTGATCGCTGTGATGCAAAATGTTCTCCAGATGTGTCCTGCCTTCCTCACAGTGCAAATGTTTTTTTTGTTTATTTTTTTCACATCCTTTTCCTGCCGTTTGCCCTGTTGCTGTGTGCGCCTTTCATTCCACGTAACATGATTTGAGTTTCACAGGTTTATTTGATGTTAAATTGCCATGGATTCTATTGTCTTCCATGTAATTACTGTAATAATAGGTTTTTATACCCTCCTGTCACGGCTAATGAAGATTTCCCTTGAATTGACTTGATGTCCGTTCTCCCTCTCTCTCCCTCCCTGTCTGCTCTCTCTGGCAGTCCTTGGTTTCACATTGTGTGAGATGGGCAAACACACTGCTTCAGTAACACTCTGAACAAACATACAGTGAAATAAAATGCACACACACATAAAGAGAGCATCACTGCACACACACTTCTCACTGTCAGATTAAAAAAAAAAGGCTCCATCAGATGGCCAAACACTGTCTTTGTACTCTGAGACCAACTGTCTCTGTGTGTGTGTGTGTGTTGTGCTGGTTGGGCATGGTCACAAAGAAAGAAAGTTTTAAAATAACAGAGGAGTGTAGTGTCTCAGCAGGCTGTATTTAGTCTAAGAGGTGGGGGATCAGTCTGGCTTGCTGACAGTGTGTGTGTGTGTGTGTGGGGGGGGGGGGCTTTGTTCCTTAAAGCAGTTTCATCAGCAGCTCCACTGACAGCCTGCTGACAGGAGTTCAGCCTCAACATTCAGCTCCACTGGAGGTCAGATTAAATGCTCTGCTGACAGACAAGAGACCATACAATGTTATAACAGGGACAAACACAAAAAAAGGAAATAAGTGCAACAATGGCTGATAATACTGAACCTGCTGTCGCTATACACCAAGAAGAAAAAGAGAAAAGCTGCTCTAAGAAGAGACGGCTAATTTATGTGAACATTTTCAAATGATTAAAGGTGCAGTATACAGGATTCAGAGCATCAATGTAGCAGCAAACAACTATTATATGTGTAAATATATAGTGGAGTAATGTCTGAGCAGACAATGAAGTCACTCTCCCTCTGCGTGTGTGTGGTGTAATCAGAGCTTCTCCTCTCTTTGTTGACATTGTTTTAGTGCATGCGAGCGTGCCCCACTGTTAAGCTCACGGCTGCCGCTCTGCACTGCTCTAATACGTCGGTAACAGCCGGTAACTTCCCCACATACTATCCATCACCCCTGATTTGTACACAGCCATCTTTGGTACATCAGGCTAATGCCAAATATAAAGCCTGTAAGTACTACGTTTCAACCTGGAGTCCTTTCACAGACTCCACTGAAGACTTTCCTTTTTTCTTTCATGACCTCCGTATTTGAACAGATGTATATTCTGTTGTCGTATTCAAAAACATGTTGTTACCTCTGAATTGAAAGGAGATGTCTCTGTCTGATTCTAACATGTTTCCCATAACCTAAAAAAAGAAGAAAAAAAAGTGTTAAAAAAAGAAAAGAAAATCGAGTTTTCTATGTCAGTAAAGGATTAACTTTAACAGACCACTACTGTTAATGCGCACTGACATGCCAGAACCAGATAATCTGTCTGCTGCTGTGAGCGCGGCGTCTGCAGGCGGTGTTTCCCTGCTATAGTCTGACGGATTGATCCTTGCATATCGCACAGCATCTACTGTAAATGCCACAGAAACCAAATTTGACCTGCAGGGTTGCCTTATCCAACATGTTCCACATATTTGGTATTTTGGTATCAACTCATGGAGATGTGTAGAGAGCGGTAGAGAGAGCTGCATTAGGTAGCTCGTGGGCAGACGATAGGATCTAATTCTAGCGCACGCTTGCATTGTTTGTGTGTGTGTGTGTGTGTGTGTGTGTGCGTGCATGTGTCACACAGGTTCATCTGTCGACCCCGGAGCTCATCTGGTCTGATCTGATTTCCTCCCAGCTGGCTGATGTGGAACAGTAGCCCAGATGTTGCAGAGATTACAACTCCCTGCAGTGTTTGGGGGGGAAGCTTCAAGGCCATTGAGGAAAATAAACACAATGATAGAATTTGTCCTGCCCATCCTGCTCTATTGTCCTCTTCCTTAGAAAAGTATTTTTTTTTTTTCAACTCATGGTTTCACTTGTGTCGTGTCGGAAGCCTCCCTGGCCTTCACCTACAAAATATCACTCAAAGAGACCAACCAGGAGGAGAATCACAATGACCGCAGAGAAACATTAAGAGACCAAAACAACTACTAAGAGATCCACAACAGCTGCAACGAGACAACAGCTATGAAAAGACACAAATAAATTATAAAGAGACACCAAACATCGAGAAAGAGTTGCAAAACAACTACAAAAGACCAAAATAATTAAAGTGAAACAACTACAGAGAGAGAGAGACACAAAACCACGGCAAGACACAAAACTACAGAGAGAGATGCAAAATACCTTGCTGATGAAGCTTTCCTCCATGAGCACACAGGTGAGCCAGCTTGGTGACGAGCTGCAAGGGGAGGAGAAAACCAAATGAGACCCAGCCAAGCAGACACAGAAAAACAAAACGTTTACGCATTATATACATTCACAGAGCTTATTTTCTGCAAAATATAATCTAATGGAAAATTCCCATTGGATTTTTGTCGAGGGAACCAGTGTGACGCCAACTTCCTGGTTATCCTACAAAAATACTTCATCCCTGCATAACCCTTTTAGGAGGGAACCACCTCACCCTCAAACACTTTAACTTCTCTGTCAGAAAGAAAATCCTCCTCTGTGTCTTCCTCTCCGTAGTTGTTGTGATTCACCGTAAAGAACCGCTCTTCAGCCGGCTCCTTTCTCTGCATTCATGAGGTGCTTTGCTTTGACCATTCGTGGTTGAATGTGGGTGTGTAGAGGGCGGGATATGAGGCTCATTCACAGCTGGACAATTCCAAGTTAATTTGGGATTAATAAAAGGAAATTGAACACCGGCAGGTGTTTGCAAGGTTTTTAAAATTTGTTCGTATGTGAACATTTAGTGTGGATCCTGTGCAGTGTTGTATAAAAGAGACTCCTGATCAGACAATAGTGTTAATGTAATGCTGCTTGTATGGCTGCACAACAGATGTTTCCTTTCCTTTCAGATCTATAAAAGGTGGATTGGTTAAAAAAAAACAAATCAACTCTCACTCAACAAAAAGTCAAGAAACCGACTCTTTATTCACATCATTTCCTTTTAATATATCTCTATCATATACAGTACATACAGTACAATATGCTCAAGACAGATTTTATGGCACATCCATTTTTGTTGTACATTTTGCAGTCGCTGGTTTCGTTGTGAGGCTACGGTAAAGTGACCGTTTGAATCTGTTACTTAGGTAGATACAGCAGGTGGATTGACCTCAGTGGGCAAGAATAATGTTGCTACAGCAAAAAACACATGCACCGATCAAGTTATATATTCCGCTAGGGGTGGGTCACACATCCAGTTACACAGACCGATACTCGAAGGGGTGGTGTTGTTATGTTCTACTGAAAACCCCTTTTGTTGTTTTTGTCTTGGAATATGCTACAACTGTGGCTACCGTGATCCTGGAAAGCACACGGTTTCGGTTCCACCCAGAAGTCATTCCCTTTGAATGTAAAGAGCTGCCATTGCTTGTGTCATAATTCAGTTTGGTTTCACGTCGGTGTTCTTCTCCTGCCACCAAACACACTTCTACCTCTGGGTTCAACCAAAACCTTGGACATCCAGCAGGAGTGGAGAATAATGGTGTGTAAGGTTCTAGTATTCAGGTTTACTACTGCGATACAACTTTACCGTCAATACTACAAGCACAGAGTACTGCTTGGAAGGTTATTCACATATGTACAGACTCTGCTATGTAACTGCGCAGAGACTTGACAAGTGAGTGTGCCTTTTTCTTTCTGCGGAGCACGTTTGAGATAGAAAAATAAAACAGTGATAAGACTACAAAATACTGTGATGCCACCATCACACTTTAATGCCGCCAAGTCCATTTTCACCCTGTTCTTTGTCCTCAGCTGAATGAAAAAACAGACATAACGTAACCCTTTCAGTCAGAATAAAAAAAAACGCATTTAAAAAGGATTGTCTCAAAGAAAGAATTCTTTAAAAATAATGGTTAAAAAAACAGCATCAAGTACGACAAAAATACAATATGTAACATGACACTAAAACTCATCAGGTATCCCTTTTTTACCAGCTTATCAGAGAGTGATGCAGGTGTGTGTGTGTGGATGTGCACAAAATGTGTACATACAGTATATACAAGTGTGTGAGGAGCAGGGATGTGAGCACCTCCCGTGTCTGTTCCCATACTTAATGTCTCTTCTTTAAACACACCGCGGGGGTTTAAAATGTCCCTTTAGTGTTCCTGTTTAATCTGCTGAAAGTGCTTCACATACTTGGCATGGCAACCAGTGTCCTCCACGGAGACTTTTTAGCATCTCTAAATGTGCAAAGTAGGCATTTTGGACTCCCTCACTGTTATCCTCCGCCGTAAGTGTTAAATAATAGGAAACAGCATTGAATAAGTCAAGAAAAGCGAGATGATAAGGGGATGTACAGACGAGCGTGGAGGTGCAGCAGCTGATGGAGCGTCTGTCGGCGGTCTAGATGACCTGGCAGCAGCTGTGTGGGGTGGGAGTACAGAGCAGACCCTCCTTGGTGTTCCGGTGGATGTTGACGGACAGAGTCTTGTCACTCATGGGCATCTGCAGCACGCGGTTCTTCATGTTCCTGTGGTTCTCCCTGGCCAGGTCCAGCTCTCCCAGCCTCAGCGTGCCCATGCAGGAGCCCTCCAGCAGCGGGTCTGCCAGCGCGCCTCCCAGCGGGGGCTGGTGGTGGTACAGGTTCCCCCTGGGTGAGGGGCCACCGAGGAGCGAGACCTTATCCAGGCTACCGGTGGAGCCGCCCATGCACATCCTCCACATGGGACGGTCCTGGGCGTCCACGCCAACAACGGCCCCGCTGCCGCCGCCGCCGCCACCGCCGCCACCGCCGCCACCGCCGCCGCCGCCGCCGCCACCTCCTACACCTCCTCCTCCTCCTCCTCCCCCTGTCAGGGTGTGGAACTGAGAGCTCAGGCACAAGCTCATCAGCTTTAAGCTTTCCACCAGGCCGCTGGCAGCTTTGGGGGTACCCTTGCCTTGGCCCGAACCTGATCCAGGGCTGGCGCAGTTGGAGGGACTTCCCTGCCCTGATCCCCTTTTCTCTCTCTCCTCTTTGCTCCCTCCTCTCTCGTCCCCCTGTCCGCCTGCAGTCACCGTATCTGGTTTATGGTGGCTCTCCGTCTCGTCGTCACTAGTCTCCGAGCTGGGAGTGAAAGCGGCAACCGGTGCTGTTACACCAGCTGTTTTGGGAGATAATATGAGCGTGGGCAGTGATGGTATCCTAGAGTTCAGATCGAGGCTGAGGCTGGCTTTGGGCGGGCCGAATCCATGCAGCTCCCTCCTCTCCTCCTCTTCCTCCTCCTCTTTGTCCTCCTCGTGGATCTGGTTGAGAACTGGAGCGCTCATACGGGACGTTAGCCGATTAGCAGAAGAAGACATGGATGAGGAGGAAGAGGCTTTGCAGCGAAGCACCACCTGAGCAGGAAGCGCTGAGGGCGATAAACAATTATCTTCCCCTTCTTCTTCCTCATCCTCCTCCACGCTGAAAAGACTGGGACTACGAGGTTTGCAAGGGCCCACTGAGGTCAGAGAGCCCAGCCTGAGGGGGTTGGAGTGGGGCTTTACCAGAGGCCGGAGCCCCCTCTCCTGGTTCTGTCGAGCAGGCGGCTGTGTGTGACTCTCCTGCCGCTGGCTGAGGTCCAGCAGAGCCGTTTTGGGCCTGGGGCCTTTGTGGAGGCTCTCAGCACTGCGGGCAGGTGACTGCGGCCCCCCGGGGTGGGAGATAGTTGGACCCCCCAAGCCGTCACTGACATCCTGGTGAACGTCCACTCTGGTGGGCCAGGACTGCCTGTGAAGGGTTAAACACACACAGAAAACAAGGGGGGGGTGGGGGGGGGGGGGGGGGGGGTTGAGCAGAATTAGCAATACTGCAATTATATATTTACACTTCCAAACATTTCATCAAGTCATTTAGTTGCATACTGACACAAAAGAACTTCAAGAAATAGTTCAACATGTTGGTTAATTTGCGTATTCGCTTTATTTCCAAGAGATGAATTGAAATCACTCTCATGATGGAGAGAGGCCTAGCCTAGCTTAGCATACAGACAGGGCCAAACAGCCAGTCTGGTACAAAGCACAGCTACACTACAGCTCATTAATGAACACATTGTATTGCCAAGAAATAATTACAGCAAATCGTGTAACTCCACCTAATGGCACAAACTGTCATTTGTACATTTGAACAAGAATGTTAAACGAAGACATTGTTAATATTTTATTCGGTCGGAGTGGTTTTAAGCAAGTTCAGCTTCATGTAATGGTCATGTTATCTATCATTTTACATCAAAACCGTGCTACGGGTGGGCATCTGCATCAGTTGTCTGAAAGCTGGAACTCTGACCAATGAATTTGCATGATGCAAACACAGCTGAGATAATCAGCATCATAGCGGCTGCTTGGCTAATTATAGATTACAGACGGGCGGTCGTGCTTGGTGTATGAGATGTGAAGCAAAACGAGAAGTAGCATGGTCAGACTACAGAGCAGATAGTGAATATACTATTATTATTTTATTGTTTGATGACCTATATTTCAGCATTAGTTCCAGATATCTAGCTGCTAATGCTAAAGAGGAAAAGGGTCTGATTGCTTTTTTTGCAAGATTGCAATTTTAGTACATGCCAACCATCTCTTATATCTCTTGAATTTCAATTTCTTAATAAGAAGACAAATTTAATATCCACGATAACGTTGCTGATCTGAAACCTCTCGTCTATTCTCAGTCTGTCCTTCAGTCTCTGCTGGAAAAAAAAAGGCTCCGTCCGTCCATTCTGCTGTCAAACTTGTCTTTTGGAAACTGACAGGACACAGCCCTGCGGAGGCAGCACTCTGTCCATCTCAAGGAGTGTGTGTGTGTGTGTGTGTGTGTGTGTGTGTGTGCGTGTGTGTGTGTTGTGTGTGTGTGTACCTGAACTGGGCCTTGCTGGGGCTGGGTGATCGTGTCTGGCTGTGCTGCTCCTTCTCTTGCTTCTCCCTCAGCATCCTCTCAGCCAGCAGGAAGTATGTAGCCGTGATGTGGTTGTACTGATTCGACTCCAGAGCCCTGGAGGTGATGGAGAGAGAAATCAATTTGAATTCCAAAACACACACACACATCCACCCACACATCAGCACGCTGAGCTGCACCGAACCCTGACCGTGAGTCAAAAGGAAGTGACGGGAGGGTGGAGATTTGATTTGACATGGCGACAGCTCAGGACTGACTGCCAGCTGGCTGTTAATGGCAATTAAACTCTTGACGACACTCAATTTAGTTTTAGCTGGACTAGTGAACCATCGTGAATGTATGTGAGATAGAGGGTCACATACTCAGTTATGGTATCTCGATCTTCGATGCCCCCAAGCACCATGCGCTGGATGATGGAGCCGTGCTCCTCCTCCGACAGGCTGCGATGGGACACCAGAGGGGTGGACAGCTTGGTGGCCGGGGAGGGGTCGACGCCTTGAAGCCATTCGTGGGCCCCGATCTCCTCGAGGGTCGCTCGTTTCTTGGGGTCCCTCTGCAGCATCCGGGCTATGAGGCTGGAGGGAGTCACAGAGGGGATCAGCATGGTGGAGGAACATCTGGTCTAGCTGTGTTTCTAGATACACATTAATATTCACAGAGTAGTTGGGATAACAATAATTTGGCATTCAGACAGGTTTTTTAAACAAACCACCAAGTTACCCAAATCTCAAATGGATAAATTATTACCCAAACTGCCCGCTGTAAACATCCATCACAGTTTACAGGCTGACTTCTGGTTGAACTTTGACCCACTGGACTTGCTGTAGTAAGTGTAAGCGTACAGTTGTCCTGACAAAATGTACACAATTGTGATGTTCTCACTTTCAGTTTTACCTCCAAATAAACTGCTTTAGATTAAACTGTTGGCTTGTTTACGACCTCACGATCTAATCGTCCGAATGCTCATGTTTCTTACCCCAACGTTGAAAACATCACCATCACTACTGGTAGAAATAGAGGCCACAAAATGCCTGCGAATAGGAAGTAAGACTTAAGCTCCAACGAACCAGAAATTATTTCAATGCCCGTAGCTGTACACAACATTTATATGACTGGATGTTGCAAGTTAGCTGGAAGCCACACAGCTGATGATTGAGCCAGTGATTGTGACAGCTGATGCCAAAACTTTGCAAATAAGGTTATAATAAAACAGAATTCCTTTAAAATTGATCTTGTTGCATGTCATATCTCCCTCTGTGCCACATTCCCTTTCTGCCTCTTCACTGTCAACTGTCCAATAAAGGCAAACATGCCGAGAAAAAAACTTTTAAAATCTGATCTTTTCAGTGTCTTCTGCCTCCAGCATGAGGGATAAGATGCACTTCATTCAATAACATACTTTTGGTGTATTTGATCAATGACTCTGCTGTCATGACAAAAAGGTAAAATACAAAGATATTAGACATCACTACAAAATAGCCACCTCTGCAGCTGATATTCAAGAGCACTGTTATCAGTGTTTGCCTTTGGGATAATCCCGTAAACAAGCTCTCCACCTCCACCAGTCTAGCACAGATTGGTGCAGCATCACCGGCTAAATCACTCTCACTAAACAGGGAGACGTGCTGTTTCTTTAAGTCATGCATAAGCAAATTTGTTTAGGCGTTCAAACTGAAAACACATGATTCAGCACCTGTGCCAATACTTCCAAGTCAAAAAAATCGCGTTTTCAAAGCTACAGTCATTCAAAAATGTATTCAGCATCTATTTCGCCCTGCTCTGCTTTGATGCTTAGCTAAACCCTCACAATGATAAAAATAGAGGGCCGATTTTAAAGGGTGCATTAGATCCACTTAACGCAGCACTGCATCTCCGGTGGAGCAGCTGACTGCAGCAGCGAGCGAAAAGCAGGACAACGGGGAGCGGCAGAAGAGAGAGGCCGCTCCTCTTCGCCTCTCTTTTCTCCACACATCTATAAACATGAAATATGCAGCACCTGCAGAGTACTCCGTCCATCTGTGTGGGTCTGTGTGGGTCTGTGCCCGTGCGTGTTACTCACTCTCTGCATGCATGGGAGATGTGTTCCGGCACTGTGTATTTACAGTCCATGATCATCGTGAGCGTCTCGCTGTCGTTGGCCTCCTGGAAGGGGGGCTGGCCGCAGACCAGCATGAAGAGGATCACTCCCAGACTCCAGATATCTGCAGAGACACAGAGAGAATGCTGTTCATACCAAAGGAAAGTGTGGACTCAGTGGGATTTTGTTTATGGAAGATGGCCTCAGAAACCCCCCAAAAACCCACCAACAAAGTGAGAAACATACGTCCTCTCAGCTTAGTGACCTAGATATAACAAAACAAGAGCTGCCCCCCCCCCCCCCCCCCAGTTCAAATGAAGCATGAATCATATTCAATCAGAGCCATTACCATAAATATGCACTGGCTTAGGACACATTTGTGTAACCAAGGGTGAGGCTCTGCACTGCTGCCGGCTTCATGCTCTCTCTCTCTCTCTCATACTCACACTCACACACACACACACACACACACACACACACACACACTTCTGCACAAACACGCAGCTAGGAAACTGGGTTAATGTGTTCATCACCCCCTCAAAGCTTCACGCAAACTCTCCCTCGATCCAATTATCCGTTTTGAAAAAGAGCAACTTTTTGCTCGGGGGCGTCCGCTGGCACTCTGGTCAGCTGACTGGTCCACTGACACACATTCCTGCAGTCAGACACCGACTACGAGCAGAGATGTAAAAGCACACAGCCTCATAGTCAGCGCGTTGACCTCTGTTTCACCTCGACTTTGGAGAAATATTTACAAGATTTGGGGCTTCATATGTAGAGCGATATGAAGTAATGGAGTGGGGAAATGAAATAGCAGTTAAAGCAGCGTTAGGATCATCAAAAGTCAGTTGATTTACAATATCTGTCTCCATTTCCCTATTTCACTATTTGATCAAACAAAATAACTGTGACTTTTTCTCCAAAGATTTTCTGCAGATGAAGCTTTCCCTCCCATGAATGCAAAGGCCAAATATCAGTTCTTAATCTGATCACTAAAACCAACCGGAAATGCAAAATACTTCACTTCCTGTGAAGCGGATGCCGTCTTCCCCAGAGCCGGCGCAGCAGAAGTATCGATGGCTACCCTGAACAGACCCTGTGCTCGTGTAACTTGCATTAAATTATCCTCCCCACCCCCCCGGTGATACGTCTGCAAATCACTGACGTTTGCCAGGAGAGGATTTCCATCTGGTGAAGTCAATGTGCCAGTTTAAACCGTGGGTGGCGAGTATTTATTGCTCTGAGGCTGTGAAGGAGCGTCTCATGCTGCTGATGGAGGGATGAAAAAAACGCTGCTGCAGTCCCCACTACCATCTTACCCCCTGCCAACGTATCCTAGCAACCGTGACCCCGCTCCCTCACTACTTGCGTCAGCGGTCCGTCCAAACTTTTCCTTCCTCAACAACTTTATTTACAAACCAGATGGCTGACACATCTCTGGATAACACCGGTCGCGTCACCGCACATCAGCCTCACTTACTTATTGGCGACAGCTGTGAGTGTAAACATCCCTTATGTGCCGCCGCGTGTTGCATTTTAACACCGATTGCTTCCCAGAGATAACCGACCAACACTTCCTTGTGTCTTGACATTGTTCGCCCGAGGCTGAGTGGGCCGAGTTCAGCATCCTGTCCTGCTGATCATTACACAACATTTGTTTTTCTTCGACAAAAATCCTCCCACTTGTGCGCGTTAAAGAAGCACAGATATGCTCTGAATTAAGTGCCGAGGATATGTTCTTTGTAATTGCTATTAGGTAACTTCAATTTAATATATATTTTTTAAGTGAAGCTTGTGCTTCTTGAAGAGGAAGCAGAAATCTATATTTAACTTACTGGAGACAAAAAGGAGCCCACACACTGCATAACATCAGAAGGCAAAAGGAGGCAGGCATCTTTTCATTGCACTTATTAGTCATTCATCAACTCCCTGTGTTAAACCTGCGATTTCCTTCATGATAATAACATATCACATATTATTTTATCCTCGAAATTCCTTTTATTCACTCACACTTTCACACCTTGGGAGCTTGGAGGACAATTTATAGACCAAACGATTAATTGAGAAAACAGATTAATCAAAGATTAAAATTATTATTTGCAGCCCTGATCCTGATAACAAAGCATGTAAGGGAATGAAGGTCAAGTTTCTCTGTTAGTAAAAGCACTTGACACTTTGGATTAATAAATCTTTTCCTCTTCTTTGTAGTTTGCTCTGGCTCCTTCGGTAGGACTGGTGCAACATCCCCCCCCCCTCTCTATTTTGGATTACTTTTCTCTCTTTCCTCTCAAATTATTCCTCAGCGTTTTCTCAAAAGAGCAACAGACTCCAAACAGGTCCGACTGGAGATGGCCGAGCGAGGACAGCCTCTTTATCTCCGCAGCAAACCGGGCACGTCACCAGCAAACCTCAGCACCACACCGGCTGTCAGCGGCAGCGATGTAATCCCAGGCCAGGTTACCTCAAAGCCCCGAAAGTCAGCACTTCTGGCCTCCGTTCGGCCTGTTCCACATCAAACCGCACCGCCGATAGAATCGCACAATATTACATCCCGGCTGGGCGGATAATCCCCCCGCAATCAAAACATCATCATCTCAGCTGAATGAACAATGGCGCACGGGCAGAATGAACACACACACACACACACACACACACACACACACACACCTGACTTGTCATCTGGGTCAACTGCTCACACGGGCTTTTTTGAGGACAGCTGACCTCACACAGCCAGATACTCGCACCATCATCCAAAATACACACATGCAGTCAAATAACTACTATTGCTTCACTTTCAATTTTAGGCAGCAGCATATCTGCTCGGCCACAGTAGAGACGGAGCGAAGGCAGGCAGAAGAAAATAGCCACTGAGAATCCACTCAGTCAGAAGAATAGAAAATGCCTCTCTCTTGCTCTGACGCAGTGGCCTCTGGGTAGACGGAGGGACTACTGATGCTTTTCTCTTGCTCTGCCTCTTGTCCCTTGTTTCTCTCAGTCAACCCCCCCCCCCCCCCCCTCTCTCTCTCCAAATCTGCACGCCTCTGTTTCATTTCTTTCCCCATTACATTTTTTGATTGAATATCTAAGCTGTGGCTCTGCAAAGGATTGTTACCACCATCGATGGGAGAGAGAGAGAGAGAGAGAGAGAGAGAGACGGAGGTGAAGGTGGTGGGGGCTGCTCGAGAGTGCTGAGGAAACCAATTTCAGCCTGATCGGATCTCGGATTTTATTATACACAGAAAGGCCATGACTGTCAATGAACGGAAACCCGCAGACAAAAATGAACTGCAGGTGCGGGGACCGCAATTCTGTGGGTTAAGCTATGGTCTAATTTCGAAACTGGCTTGTACGCTAACACGATCTGAACTTTGAGCAGTTCCTCCTCCGTCTATCAGCTGGCTGATAAAGCTGGCAGTGTGCCATGCAGGGGTTACATCCAAAGTACTGCAGGTCATACAGTATGGTCAAAGTGTATTCAGAGATATCAGTAGGTCATGTCTGCAGAGAGAGAGTGTGGGTGTGAATGTGAGAGCATCAGTTAACCAGGCTGAGATACAGTAAAGGACAGCGTGTATGTCCTGCTGCTGGGAACACACGCTGGACTACGGACTGAGACGCTGTCCCATCCCAGTGAAAGTAAAGGCTGTGATCAGCATAGATAACTCCTCACCTACAGCAGGAGCGTCATACTCGTCCCCCAGCAGTATTTCAGGAGCAGAGTAGGCCAGCGAGCCGCAGGAGGTGTTGAGTGTTTTCCCGGGCTGAAAGCGGTTGCTGAAGCCGAAGTCGGTGAGCTTGACGACGCCCTGCTTCTCGAAGAACACCACGTTCTCCGGCTTCAGGTCCCTGTGCACCACGTGCAGCCGGTGACAGTAGGAGATGGCGTGGACGATTTGGGCGAAGTAACACTTGGCCACCTTGGAGAGGAGAGACAGGAATGGTAGCAAGCGATACTAATGAATATCAAAATATATATTATGTTGATACTTAAGTTAGTAAAACAGCAGAATACGTATACTTATTAACCCTTAAATGTTATCCTCCTTTACAGTAGGAAAATATGAAATCATTTTAAATTTCTCAAGTAATTCTCCACAATATAGCCTGCATCATTCTAACAAAACATGCAAACTTATTTTATAGCAGAAACATCTTTAGCTTGCTTATTGGCCACCTCATTTCGTACCAGTAAGGGACCATAAAACGGTTAATAAAAAGCCACTGTTGCCATTGCAGAGTTTGAGAATGTCTGATCCCTTTTCCCTGCTTGAGGTGCAACGTTACAGCTTTCAATGTCAGACAGTTGCCTCCTGGTGTCTGGAATTGATTAACTTTAAAGAATCGGTATGCACAATGCATTGGTGAGCTTCTAACTACCTTTGAAGTGTCCTTCACTGCTTTCCCACAAAATAGTCTCAACTAAATAAAAAAAAAAAAAGAACCACATCCAAATGTTGTTTCCTAGAGAGTTGAACTTAAGTGATTGTCATCCATTCATAAGAGAATTAATATTGATATGATACTTTATAGATCTCCTTTCTCTTGCTTTATCCCCGGAAATGGTGGAGAGCCCCAAAGTCAAGGTTCTGCAGGTGGGGTGAACCTTCATCTACCACTTGAAAGACTCTATGCAACCTAATGGTTAATCTGCTACCCACAATCCCACTCACCTCCTCAGTGAGGCCTCCGTCGTGCTTCATGATGCAGTCGTACATGTCTCCTCCGTCTCCCAGCTCCAGGATGAGGTAGAGCTTGGTGGCCGTGTCGATGACCTCGTAGAGGCGCACCACGTTGGGGTGCTGCACCATCTTCATGCATCGCACCTCCTGGAAAAGGTGCGCCCGCGCCACCGGGTCCAGCTTGGTCTTATCTATCACCTTCACTGCCACCTGGAAGAGCAACACAATGGCAACTGATGATTGACATCTAGCCCCAAATCTATCAGCAGCAGCTGTTGCATACTGTGGAGGTTATTGACTCTTTTTGGACTGAAGCAGCTAATTACTGATGTAGAGTGTTAATACTAAAGATATTGGGCCTCATTCTTGCATTTTTATAGCACCTTCTAGTTTTTCTGACCGCTCAAAGCGCTGTACACTGTACGTCAACATTCATCCATTCATGCACTGATGGCCATACGAGGTGCCACCTGCCCATCAGGGCTCTAAACGTATTCCCGTTCACAGCCTTCGGGAGCAATTAGGCTTTCAGTATCTTGCCTAAGGACACTTCGACCATGCGAACTGGAGGAACCGGATGTCGGACTGCCAATCTACCGATTGGAACACAACCCCCGCTCTACCTCTGAGCAACAGCAGCCGTCTCAAACACAAACATTACAAGTATTTCATGTTAAATCTTGTCTGGTGGGAAACGCCTCTAGAAACAACATTAAGATGTGATGCTAAGACATACACAAAAGCGAAGACAAACACGATACTTTGGCTAATCAATCCACTCATCTCACTTGAGGGACATTACTCAAATATCTGTGTTACTAGTCACCCTTCTTTGGTATGTCTCTAAGGGTGAGTAATCTATTGAAAGCTATTTACATATGAAGAGATTCAATCACTGGCATCAACGCATTCCACCTGCATGTACAGACATGGACAAGCGTACCTTTTCCCCAGTGAATACGTGTCGGGCCAGTTTAACCACAGCAAAGTGTCCGCGTCCCAGCGTCTTGTCCAGGTCATACAGCCCGGCGATCTTGCCATCACGATGGCGTTTTAGCCCCGCCATGGCTGCAGGTGGAAAGGGGAGGAGCTGCCTGCTGGTCTCTGGTCAGTTCTCCATCTCCTCCTGGGTAGTTAGGTGAGGTTCGGTTGATTCTAGACCAGCTGCGGGTCTCTCGAGGTAGATTCAGGGTTTTGACGCCACTGCTGGACGGTAACTGCAAATATTCACAGAGCGTTGTCGTCCTGCGCTGCCGGTGTTCAATTCAATCCCATCTTCTCCTGATCTGAGGGTGAAAATGGTACAAGAGAGACAGGAAATCAAAATCCACCCATTCATATTAACAGCTCAGTGCTTTGGAGGAACTCCTGCTGAACCCTGAACCTGTCCGATGAACTCTGTGTGTCATTTAACAATTTAATAAGTTCAAAGTTTCTATAATTCATTCACAACAAAAACTAAAACACAAAACGAAACTAAGAGTCTATAGCCATGCAAGCAGCTCTGTGAGGCGCTTTGAGCTAAATATTAACATCACCATGCCATCGTGTTCACAATGGCATATTTAACATGATGATGTTTTAGGGGTTTAATGTTTACCTTGGTTAACATCCTAATTTCGTGTATTATTAGCATTTGGTAATTACCACGAAACAAAGTGTGCCAGGTTTATTGGTCATAAACCAAAGTATTGAACGAATCTGAATTTGGACCTGCTGATGATGCTCGATGGAATGTCCAATAGTTGTTGAGATATTTCAGTCTGGACCAAAGCGGGAGACCAACTGACCGACTGAGGTTGCCAACGTCTTCCTGCTGGCGTGACTAAAAATGCCATCTGGGTGTATGTTAGCACATCATTTACCAATAAATTAAAACTAAAACTAGTATTCCTAGAAGAGTGCACGCCACCACAAGGCCTAAATCATCAGATATACATGAATACATTGTTTCTAATTATAATTTTAAACTTTTGTTGTACAGCACATGTTGCAAAGTGCTTTACAATAAAAACAGAACACATTTAAACTCAAAGAAAATGAAATTAACTAAACACATAAAGTAATGGTTTAGTGTATGAAATGTGTGAAAATAGTAAAATGTGAATATCTTCAAATGTTTTGTTAGACCAACAGTCCAAAACCCAAAGAAAAATACAACATGGAACCAGCAAATATTGATTAAATCACCTTAATTGATTATTAAAACTATTGCAGATTAATATTCTGTTAATCCACTCGTCAATTAAATGACTATTTTTCAGCTCCAGTTAATATATTGCATCATTGTGCAATAGTTGTCTGCTATGTTTAGAATTTCTTCATAATTAATGTTGGTCATTTGATATGTTTTGCCCCCTCAGGGATGACAAAACTCTGAAGCTCACTCAAGCTGTGCACACATGTCCGACCGTCCGCTTTGTTCACCGGAAGCCACCGTCGTCGTGTTGCTTCACAGGCCTGATTATGAAACGACGCCTCCGGGGGGACGCCTGGCATTCCTCTTCCAGGAGTCTACCTGCGTGCCAAGAGCACAGACGACGGCAAAAGACACACGGTGTCCACACAAAAGAACATTCCTGCGAGGTTATCCTCGCCTGTAGGTGTGCCCCACTCACCTGGGTTCACAGACACAACTGGAAACCAAATAAACTGTTGATAGGGAACACGCCTATCAACACGACGAGATACAGTAAGATGGACAAAATGAAAACGTCTCTTAACCCGACGGCAGTCTGTGGTTGCTCAAGTGAAACTCTGAAAGCCTAAAAAGCTCTTTTGGGGTTTTTATGTGATCCTCAGTTGAAGGATTGTACTTGTGAGAAAAGAGTGAGTCATTTTTCTTATAATAGGAAGATGACATCTGAATCTGTCTCTCTCTCTCTCACACACACACAAAAGCAAACTCAACTCTGCTGAACTCTTCGCCTGACACTTACAACACGTAGGTGTTGATGTTTCAGGAACTGAAGCCGTGAAAGGAGACTCTCACTCTCACACACACACACACACACAAAACACACAAAACACACAAAACACACTTGTGCCTGCGTTCATGTGTGAGATAGGTGAGATCAACGTGGGCTGCAGTGTGGTGGGCAGCTGGTGTGTTTGCCGGGATCTGCAAGTCTAAATCTAGACCTCTTATTTATCTCAACAGTGTGTGTGTGTGCGCGTGTAAAATCACTTGATCGTATTGTAATCAAAATTACAAGTTGGGAAAATGCACTCTGTGAAAAACAGACATCCCTCTGGTCTTTCGGACATGTCGATGTACAGTACAGCAGCGTAACGGTCGCGCACGCTTTAAAGAGGGTCCGTTGTGCAACTGTTGAAGGTGCTGGAGGCCGAGGCGTATTGATTTTGATGTGCATTTGTGCACTCACGTACGAGGTCAAGGACCGGCGTTATGAGAGCTGCTCTCATAACCTGTGAGACTCTAAGATATGAGCTGGGGGTTATCAAGTTTAGTCAGGTTACTGGTACACTTGCTGAAGATATCAATGTGTTGAAGATAAGTTAGTTTACAAGAAAAATACGATAATATGGTGGTGGTTCCCAACCGTAACTTATCAGTAAATATCAATAGTTACCAGTTCAACCAAAGACTTACTGATTTTATTCCATAAACTTGAGATTACAACATTTAAAAGTAAAGATTAGATCATTTTAAATTGTAGTAATATGTTTTTTTTCTGCTGTCTTATCCTAATACTCTCATGGCCCCACCAGGATATACTTGCAACCCCTTGCAGGAATCCCAATGCCCAGTTTGGGAACCATTGCTACTAGAATACAATACAAATATGACAGAAAATACATCTCCAGAGGAATATCATAGTGACACCACAGGAGTTATGGTCTAACACGAGGTGCTATACAGACTCAGTAAGTCCCTATAGACATAATACAGGAACTATATAGTGATGTATCTGTTTATTGTGGCACAGCCAACAAAGAACACGATAAGATAACTATATTTATTCAGTACTGAAACATTATCTTGTCTGCATGTGGTTATTGTAGGACTATAATAAAGACAAGATTGAGAAGTCTTTAAACTCTCTGTACACAGAACCACAGGAACACTTTACAATAGTAAAATCATATGCATGATAAATATATATATATATTTCACTATTGTGGAGTATTAAAGCATTGTTGTGTTCAAACTGTGCCGACCATCCTACACAGTATCACTTATCCCTGTATAGGCGCTACTGCCCGTTTGGGACCCTTCCAGCCTCCCCTCCCCTCTACTGTCAACATGCCTGCTGGCTGCATCCACAATAACATGACAGCGCAGACCAGCCTGCGCCAACAGCGCACATAGGGAAGCTGTGAAGACTCGGGCAGCATTCTAACTAACATGCGTCTCCAAAAGATGCGCATTAAAGAAAAGCACCATCCGGAACCGATATCCAGCACAGCCTATAGCTAACTTGACACATATTACTACGCGGGGCCCACACCGTCCGCATGCATGCGTGCGCTACACCAGTCCTACTTACCACGGAGGCATCTGAAGCAGCGACAGCCGTCCTATCGGTTTCCTTTTTGCGGAGCTCCGGGCGGTGATCTGCGCGGTTTAACGGGTTCTCGTTCAGTTTAACAGTCGGTACCGACTGACAGAGAACCGACGTTTAAGTCCAATGAGTCCCTGCGTGAGTCTGTCACACTGACAACCCAACCTCCCTCTATCTCTCCCCTCTCTCGCTCTGTCAGCTGCGTAGAAAAACAACAACACAGGTAGCAGGTATACACAGGAAGTGCAGATTTCAGAATAAAAGCTAAATATTTTACTAGTTCTAGCTTCAGATGTTGAATAAATCAATGTTAGTGACGTTTTGAGTTGTCAAAGGTGATTATTCATTTGATTTAATTCAATTTTTTACAAGCAAAGGATTATTACATTATGAATAAATTACATTACAGTCATTTAGCAGATGCTTTTATCCAAAGCGACTTACAATAAGTGTATTCAACATAGGTATTCAAGAGAACTACTCGTCACCAGAAGTCATAAGTGCATCTCCTTTTTTAAACAAGCATCTAAGAGCATCAACCAGAGCAAAAGTACAGTGCAGAAACAAACTAATACGAATACAATAAGTGCTAAGTGGAAGGCTCAGGGTAGTACTTCTTCATGTCATGGACGTATAATAATTTGACATACTAAATATCATAACTTTTATGGAAAATGATCTGCTAGTCTGTGTGGTTGCATATGACTATTTGTGAATTAAAAAATGTTTTTATATATTTTGTATCAATTTGGTCCAACTATTACAACTGTATTAAACATGATAAAGAAATGTAACACGCTTGCAATTGAATTTAACTGAATTACTTTGTATACACACTACTGATGTAAATGAGATAAAATAAGTGTATTTAAATGGGAACATCCACTCATATATGTATAATTTATCTTTAGGTATATGTGGCATATACCAAGATATACATGTACAATTAATACAAGGGCACAGATGTAGAACTTGTAAAACATATATAGGCTATTTATTATTTCACTGTGTAAGAACTGCTAAGACAAAGAATAACTTCAAAGGTGTGATTAACAAACATGTACTTTTTTTCAGTTAATAGTGTAAGTATAGGCAAATAGGTAAAATATATATATATATATATATATATATATATATCTAAATCCGTTTAAAGTTGCCCTACAGGATATAAAATGGGCAATCTTTATGTATTATGGTTTTATTTTGAAGGCCAACTGGTTTGTTTTCCGGTGTCGTTGCTACTGAATGACGGCTCTATCATCACTGCGCATCCGTACCATTCATTCTCTGACGTCAGAACTACGCTCAGATAAAAAAAACCCAGAGATAATAAACCAGAGAATGTTCTCTATCCATAGTGTCTTTACCTGAACCGTCTTCATGTTTGGATCCTGATTTAAGGCATTTAATGCAAAATTATCTGTGAGAGTGAGATATACATATTTATTTTATGGATTTAAAAGAACAATAGGTCATTATAAGCTTTTATACTTCCATTAAGTGGGTGGGCCCGTTGGCCCTCTAACCCCATCAACCGCCACATTTCTCTGGCTGCCAGGGCTCGAACCAAGGCCTGGTGTGATGTGGTGGTGGTGGTGGTGAGAGAGGTAGAGGTGGTGGTGGTGGTGAGAGAGGTAG